GTAAATCTTTATAGGAGCAGAAAGCCTCATCTTTCTCCCACGGAACAGCTGGTAGTTTCGAACTGCTGACCTTGAGGTTCGCAGCCCGACTCATATCCACTGTGCTACCAGAGCTCCTTATGTCTTTATACAGAAGGGCAAAATAGCAACCATGGACAAGTCAAAACATGACTGTGGATGATTTTTATTATTGTACAAGTCAGGTAGAATTTGAAGTTCAGGTTAATAGAAGAAAATGAAATAAAAATTTATATTTAAAAAAAAACAAGTTGGAGTTAATGCATTGTCTTTGTTTTCTAGAAACATGAGACGCTGGGTGGTGGAAAGCTACATTCTGGCAGCAAACACAGCCACTCATTGTACTTGGATATCACTGTTAGGCCAAAAGTTGTTTCAAAATTGATATTATAAATGTAGAGTGGTGTGGAATTATTTGGATAGTGGTAGGATAGATATGGCAGGGTTAGATGCTCACTTAGGTTACAGTTCTGAACCTCTCAAGTTACCCAGCCATGTTTGTCAGCTTAACACCACGAGGCTTCTTTATCTAGTGACCACCCTGAAATCGCAGCTTCCATTTCCTTCTCATGTTTAATATTCAGCAGGAGCAAGTACAGAAACATAGCTACCATCAGACATCTTTATTATCTTCCAAGTGTGCCACATGATAGACTTTATTTTCAGTTGCCTAGAAACCAGTATAATGGGTAGCTGAACCTGTTTGGTTTTTGTGTCTGGTCAATATTGCAATATATCACAATTTTTTTTCTGTTTTGCCATTTATTTAAATCTAATATTGCTTTCAAATTATCTTTAAATATGCTACCACTCTGGGTTCAGTGTCATTTTTTAAATGTGTCATTTGGAGGAAATATTATTAGTGAGGTAACCTTGCTGTTTTTGTCTTTCCATTTAAAAATTATTTAATTTCTTGCCACCAGCCCGCTTCCCAGTTATTAGCATTACTTAAAATGCTGCCCTTTTGGATTGAGGGGATATAAAATGTGTCAAGGCTATGACTTTCTTCATGTGCCAGACTTTGGATGTCACATGCTGTCCCTCTGGTGACAGGAGGCATTGTTGATCAAATACCAGACTGCATCACACGCATGGGGTCACCCATGTCTGCGCTCAGTGGTGCCAGCTGAAGCCTCAGTTTGTGGGAGAAGCAAGGAGACAAACATCTCTGATTGTCAACTCTTGACAGCAGCGACTCCTAATTCTAGCTGGAGGTTTGTTTAAACAGTTCCCCACCTGCCCCTCCTGCCAACTCTTCTCTCCCCCTGCTGGTCAGTGGTTTCCTCACTCTGCTGACCTGCAGCTCCTCTTTGGATGGGACAGCATTGGCCCCCAGGCCTTAGTCCTTGTACAAGCAATTTCAGGTTCTCTCAAATGCAAATTAGTACAAAAAAGAAACCAAAGGGATGGAGTTCATGTTTTCCATAAACGAGAATCCTCTTAACAACACAACTTGTTAAAATCCCTTGTATAAAAACTGCTGAGGTTGTATCATTTTCTAATCTGTGCATAAGATTTTCATTACTTTTCATGAGGGTCCTTACAGGCTTCTGATTTTGTTTTGTTGAATTATTTTGAAATTTCAGACATCTATAGGAGATGTTTGGGGGATACATTTAATAGTTTATTTGTGACTCCTAAATTAGATTATGGGGATCCTGTTGTGGTTCTGTGAGTTAATGTGCTAGAATACAAGTTGGTGTGAACCTCAGAGTCGGCAGTTCAAGCTCACCAGTTCCTCCTCGGAAACCCTATACAGGGTTGCTTTGGGTCAGAACCAACTTGATCGAGTTTTTGTTTGCTTTTAAAATTAAGAGACTAAATTTTTTTTTTAAGAGACCAATTTTTTAAGAAGAGTTTTAATTACAGAAAAATTGAACAGAAAGTATGGAGTTCCCATCTTAACCCCCATCCAAATTTCTCCTTCTATTAACATTTTTCATAAATGTGGTACATTTGTTACATTGATGAACCAATACTGATGCATTATTATTAACCAAAGTCCAAGTTTATTTGGGGGTTCACTCTGTGCAAACCCCCAAATAGCAAATACCCCATCTCACATACTCAACTGAAAAGTCTTGATCTTATTTTTACTCCTAAAACTTCAGGACCAGGATGGGACTAAGGAGTTAGGAGATATTCTACATATGTGTGTATGAGGAGGCTTCAACACATTTGTGGAAAAATGGAATTGAAAGATAATGGAATATTTCTATGAACTTTTTAAAATCCCTTTGTGTGTTTATATATATGTGTGTGTGTGTGTGTGTGTGTGTGTGTGTGTGTGTGTGTGTGTATAGACACACATATACTTAGTCTCTACTCTCTTTCCTAGGTCTCAAATACGGCAATTTAAGAGAGGGAGAAAAAAAGATTGTTTAAGTGAGATAGTTAGAAATCGTTCACTTTTGAATAATTGGTAGTGTACATACTGTGGTTTGTTACTGAATCAGTAGGGTAATGCATGGAAATCTGCTCTGTTAGCTATATTCTAATTGAATTGAGTCTTGTGGGTGTCTGCGGTGGACTTTGCCCTGTACCATAAATGCATGTATTTCTTGCTTAGCCTTCATCAGACCTCCCATGCTGTTACACAGATGGGTAGAATGGTGACTTGCAAGCGGGTCATTCATCCCTAAAGAAAACACTCCCAGGTCACAACGTATAACCCACAACAGCAGCTGTGGAGGAGATTCTAGAAAGTCTCAGGCATCAGAGCGTATATAAATTCTCCATGAAATACCCCCCAAAATTTTGGTTATGAGAGCACTTCTGATATAATTAATAACATATTTATCCTTTTTTGTTTTCCCTGAAGGTCAAAAAATATTTTGAACTTGAACCACTTGCACGTGGAAAACGCTGGATTCTGCAGCCCTGCTCTCTGGACGACATGGACACACTGAAAGACAGCTTCTCCCAGCTGATCAATTTGTTAGAAGAAAAAGATCATGAAGCTGTCAGAATGTAAAATCTGGCAAAGAAAACGGGTTTCCAAAAGGCCTTGGGCCTATCTGTGTAGTTTCTCATTTTAATTTTATTTTGATATCAAGACTCTCGTGGCTTCTGTGTCTATTGTCCTCTAGTTAACTCTGACTCGCATCCTCTGTAAATCAGGTGAATCTCATCATCGGCATTAACGTCAAGTACACACTACTGAGAGAGAATTTATTCTCTGTTTACCACTAATTAGCTTCACCGCATGTCTCTTCCTTCTGTTGTTCTAAGCATCTCTTGTATACTCTGTGCTAAAATGGATGGAATACATGGCTCACGGAAATCCCTTATGAAGGACTCCAAAAGACTCACAAGACCTTGACTCATTTTCCCTGGGCTCAGGGAAGGAACGTCCCATGACTGGGCCTTCACACACTATGTAGAGCATTTTCAAGATCTCTTGGGGGTTGGATTTTAGGGGGGATTGTTTTGTTTTTTAAATTCTGACTGTATAGGCTATGAGACAAAATTGAGCACCCAAAATTTCATCCAGTCTCACCTTATCAGGAGAGAGTATGCTACCCTAATGGGATTACTTTGAAGAATTTAGAGACAAGACAAAAATAATACTATCTTGATTATATCTGCAGACTCCCCTCCCTCTTTTAAGGGCAAAGACATTGTTTTGTGAGAGTGATTAGAGGGAATGCAGGCACAATGCATACACCACTGGTAACGATTCAGTCAGGACCTCAAATATATTTTTTTTATATAGAAACATTTACTCTGCACCAAGTCAACCTGCAACATTATATAGGGACCTTCTTCCAAAAATTATGTTTGAATGAAACTGAGAAAATAATGTTTTAAATAATGTATCAAATATTTTAAAAACATTTCAGATTCAGTATAGTTTAAACTGGCATAGGGTTTAAACTGGCATGGGTTGTGGCAAAGATATCAAAGACAGAATCATCTGTATGTTTATTCATTAAGTGCTAATGGAGTTTAATGGAGTCTGTTAATATCTCCATCTAGTAATTAAAGGTCTATCAGTATTTTTATTATAAACCTCTATTTTCAGGGGTTTCAATGTGCCCTTAAAAGTGAACTAGGGAACTGCAGTATATACATAACTTTAGGACCCAGATTCAGTCTTTGGAGCTAATAATGTTTTCATTTCATTTAAATGCTAAAATTATGTAGTGATAAATGTACAGTTTTATTGAGATTTGAAGCCTTTGATCTTTTCTAAATCAGGAATAATCTATGAATATTGAGGTTTATAGATAAAATATCCTTTGGCATGTTTTGTAGACTTTTGACCACATGAACTACTAAGTGGCCAAATGATATAAAACTGCTCCGTACACCTGAGCAATAAAAACATGTTTGTAATTTTTAGGTAGCATAGCCCGATACCCACATGCCACAGACTCGCACTGTATTACAGGGTGAGGTAATGCTACCTGTAATGTACTTTGATATATGTCAGACCTGTATCATCCTTACAGTTTTTGTGGTTTAATCTCATAGGTGGGTTTCAATGAAATCACTACCTTTGAAACATTGAATCCTCCTTTAAGCACTTATAAAAGATCAAAAAGGTTCATGGTGCCTCGTATACGACTTCGTCTACAGTGTCCATGGATATTTTTAACACTCTGTAATCCGTGAGCAGCACACATATTTTATTCCAATGCCCAGTGACTCAATCCCTGCCTTCATTTTGTTCTGTCTCACTCCTCATCTATGAAAAATAAATGATTACTAGGCATTGCACTCCCTGCAAGTTCATTAAATGTAGAATCTTGTCTTTTTAAGATAACTGTGGCTGAGTGCTCTGAACCATCTGTTAAATGACTTCCCGTTGTCTGTGTGTGTGTGTGTGTGTGTGTGTGTGTGTTCATGTGCGCGCCAGGGATGGGCTTCTTCTCAGACCCACGACTGTCTGCAGTGTCTCAGCCGTCAGAATGAAAACATTATCAATCAGTACCCAACAACAGCTGTTTTTGACAAGTTTCTGTCTGACGCCTAATGCTTTACAACTGTCAATAAAGCTCCTTCTTTGTCTAGCAGTTCGAAGCTCGCCGGCTTGCTGCTTCCTTGCTGCATCCTGTCCTTGTAACTCTAGAATTTGCCATGTTTGGGAAATCCACATGGGGGGAGGGGCGGGGGCCTGGCCGGGTGTGGGTGGGGGGGTGCAGGTATGTGTGTCATGTTCCTATCTGCGTGTCAAGTGCCACAGGTGTCTTAGCTTGCATATTCCAATATTATAGAGGAAAACAGTCTGTTATGTATTTCTTAACTTAGCTTCTTGTTATATTTATGGAAGTTACCAGTTTTTGTACCTTCTTAGCTAAAGCAGTTGCCTTTTTGTAATGGCAATTAATTTATATGACAAAACTTTGTATCTACTGTAGTTTACAGTATTGGTTGCTAATTAACTGCCATATTGCCCTGTCTTTCTATTAAAATAATACTCCCACTCCTTATTTATCGACTGTCTCATTACCCAACATTTCTCATTTAGTAAAACTCTACTATCAGACGATTTTGCGCAGTAGTGCCTGGGATCTGGCAGTAATGAACGTCCAGGTGTAAGGCGAGAGTAACAGCGGTTGCCATATTTAACGAGGCCGCGCCATGATGCTCAGTGCGTTGGTGGTTCTGTAATTATGTCATTTGGCGCTTATGTATAAGCAGTCCCCAGGTTACTAACATCTAACTTATGGACAACTTCTACTTGCCCTTTTTATTATGTAATTTGCCCAAACTTTGAAAGAATTGAACCCATTCCTACTCCAGATTCTTCACCACAGTCACCCTTAGGTGCTACACATGCAAATATTAAATCATTGAAAATCTTTGAGCCTTTTCTTACACTAGCCCCCAGCCCACTGCCATCAAGTGGATGCCAACTCATAATGACCCTGCAGGACACAGTTGAACTGTGCCATGTGGTTTCCAAGACTAAATATTTACAGAAGGAGACTGCTGTATCTATTGCCCACAGAATGACTGGTGAGTTTGAACCTTTAGGTTAGTAGCTGAATGCTTTAACCATGGTGTCACCAGGGCACATTCTTACCCTAAAGTAAGCCTAAATAAGAACCATATTTTCTTAATCCAATTTATCTACAAATTCTTAGAGACACAGGAAGGGATCTTGCCTGTACCCTAGGGACTGCTTGAATTTGACAGTTAAGTAATGGTGTAATTATGTATTGATGTAGCCATCCTCCATTTTGTGATCTGATGTGATCATCCTCCATTTTTATATAACATCAGTTTTCACATACTGACCTGGTCTTTGGAGCCTAACCATGTCGATAAGTGAGGAGTGGATATACTGTATCTATGCTGAGGGGTTAATGGACTCAAGTGGACAATTGTCTGGCCAGAAGGACTTGCATTGTCCATGATTGATATATGATTTCCACTATCTTCAAATGAAAATAAACGCTGAGTAAAATGGATGTTCTCAGATTGATTCCTTTCAGCGATCGTATTTGAGAGTCCCAGATTTCTGCCTACATTTGTGTTGCCTGTTTAAGTCTTCAAAATGAATTTTGCGGCCCTTGGATTGATTAATACAAAGATGATTAATTTGTATTTCCTTTGAAGTTATTTTTTAAAACCTTAAAAAATCTTATCTGGTTGGTTTGTCTTCAGCAGCAACTGACTTTCTTTGGAAATGAGAATGAGTGAGCAAAGTCAGATATTAATATAAAGTGATATCTTTCAGTCAAAGCATCATTACATAATATTTGCTGTAAAAACAACTTACTAAGAATGAGAGTTTGGTACAATGAACTGTTTCCTTCAATGGTGATACCCTTAATAAATAAATAAATATTTTTAAGTGACTCAAGAGGAAATTCTACATGTTTACAGGTCCACCTTAAGCATGAGAATAGGGAATAAATGAGTAGAAGAAAAAAAAAAAAAAATACATAATGGAAGATGGAAAATCCAAATCCCAGCACTTGCTTGGTCCCAAATGCATCATTATTCTGACACTTACTGTTTGACTCCACACAGAGCTTACAACACTTCATTCCTAAAGTGGTTTCCAAGGTTTACTAACCAACTCAGACCCATCCAAGCAAATGTGGGCAGAATTGTCAGATTTGGAAGCAAGTGGGGTTTTCTTCATGTTCAGATTGCATATTCAGACTTGAATGGAAATCTAATAATCATGCCTGACTTCATTCTCTTGATAATTTTAGAGTGCTGTGTCATTAACCTTCTGACCTAATGGCACAAACAGAAAGGAAAAGGTATGTGTGTGGGGGAAGGAAGTGGGAGTTACCCTTTGGGATCCCTCATTCTCAGTGAGTTTGGAAGGGAGGGTCTGTCTCTGTTTGCAGAAACTTTAGGAGAATATAGATTTCCCCCCCTTGGCTTCCCGCTCATGTTGGAGTCACCAGAGCTGAAGTTCATGCTGTGAAATGGATTACCACATCAGGTTGGGAATTCCTGGCTCCAGAGGGTTCACAACTTTTGGTCACCACTGAGTCAGCATCGTTAAATGATTTGCATCTCAAGAGTTAAATGTTTTCAAACTGAGATTCTTGAAGTGATGGATGAGTGCATGTTTTGGTACCCTGCCCCCATCCCCATTGTACTAATTTAGGAACATGAAAAGGAACCCGTGTAAGACAAAAGAAGCTTCAGCTGGGATAGTAATTTCCCCTCCCCTTTGCCATTTGAATTTAAAACCTCAAATGAAAAGCTGTCCTTCTAGTACTGTTGAATTGGACCTGAAAATCCAGACTTAAAAACTATCCTGTGAGTTTATGTGACAACTGCTTCATAATGTGACCTGTGAAACTAGTGGGAAGAGCTGAAAAGACACACAGAAGAGTCTCTCAAAGTCCTTTATATAAAGCAAGTCGAGTAAGAAGTTCTTCACAATTTTCTATCAGATCTCTTCCTCTCATCTGCCATTCCATCTTTCCCCCACCCTCCTTTCATGCTCAGTTCTTCAAGTGCTTGAATGGAAACCAGAATGTTTATGGGCCTCTCTGTGGCGCTGTAGGATCAGCACTGGACTTTGAACGACAAAGTCGATGGTTCAAACCCACCAGCTGTTGGTTCAAACCCACCAGCTGTTCTTTGGAAACCCTAGACAGGGTCACTATAAGTCAAAACCAACTTGACAGCACTTAACAACAACAACATATGAGTAATCACTTTTTATAA